GTGGGTGCGCAGCGTGGTCTCCTCGCTCGGGTCCATTGTGGGTGCGCAGCGTGGTCTCCTCGCTCGGGTCCATTGTGGGTGCGCAGCGTGGTCTCTCGCGGGGCTGCCCAGGGCTTTCCCAGCTGCGCTGCCTCTCAGGCAAGGAAGCTGGGGCGCTCTCCCGGGGGAAGCCTGCTCCGTGGGGGGCGCCGGCCAGGCACACCGCCGGGCGCACACCCCGTAGCGTGCTGTGACAGACTTGGCAGCTGTGGCCCCGACTCTGCCTCCCAACAGGGCCTTCCTGGACGAGCAGGCTCCAAAGGGGAGAAGGGAGAGATGGTGAGTGGTGGCTTTCTCCCCAGGCCGGTCCCCCACAGCAGGGACCCCGCGCTCAGGGCTCTCCCCATTTCCGCAGGGCAGAGCCGGAGAGCTGGGTGAAGCTGGCCCTTCCGGAGAGCCAGGCGTCCCCGTGAGTGCCCACAGCCCCCCGACCCCCACCGCTGTCTGCACGAGAACCCTGCCCAATGCCCTTTCCCTCCCCACAGGGGGACATGGGCGTGCCCGGGCAGCGAGGCGAGGCTGGCCACAGGGGCTCTGCGGTGAGTGGACGGCCCATGGGCAGTGGGCTCTGGGAGGCGTGTCGGTGGGCTGAGCCCCTCCCCCAGGACGGGGCAGCCTGGGCCTCCTTGGGGTCTCAGACCATGGTGGCCACTGGCCAGCATGCCCAGGGAGGGGACGGCCAGCGGCTCCAGGGCCTGGCGCCAAGCCGGCCTGACTGAGGCATGAGCAGGCGTGGGCCCCGGAGCCTCTCTGCCACCCCCAGGCCCCACAGCCCGGGAGCTCCCTGGCCTCGGTCCCCAGCAGCTCAGCCAGAGGGCTCAGGACCACCCTCCCCACGCCCCTGTGGAAGCAACACGGGTCTCGTGGGGCTGCAGACGCCGGAAGGCGCCAGGCCCCCCTCGAGCCCAGGCCCATCCGGTCACACCCCTTTCTTTCAGGGGGTCCTTGGCCCACAAGGCCCTCCGGGGGCCCCTGGCGTCCGCGGCTTCCAGGTGTGTAAAGTTGGGCCTGGGGCCGTGGTCAGCTCGCCCAGCTGGGGCAGTGAGCCCCTGGGGGGTTCAAGAGGAAAGGGGTCCCGGCGGGGCTCCTGCGGGCACTGACCAGGACTGTGTCTGCAGGGCCGCAAGGGCAGTGTGGGCGATCCCGGCCTTCCCGGCCCCCAGGGCCTCCGCGGTGACGTGGGTGACCGGGTAAGTGGCCATCATGGCACCTGGGCCTCTGCCCTGTGCCCGACCCTGCCTTACTCGCCCGGCCGTCCAGTCCCACCCAGCTCGCTCCTGCCGGCCCCTACGCCCCTCGCTCACGCTACCTGCCATCCCTGTGGACCACAGGCACTGGCGTCTGCTCGGCTCCACTTCTAGACCCTGGCGGGGGCCTCCAGAGCCAACACCAGCCCTCTGACCAGTTGGGAGGAAGGGCAGACCCGCTGTGTGTGAGCTGGGCTTGATTGGGCAGAGGGTCTCATGGCTGTAAGGCAAGCGGGACACCCAGTGCTGGAAACCAGCGCTCTTCCCTGCCATCTTGCCACCGCCAATCACGTCGGCTCTGTGCCAGAGGCTGGTGACTCTCAACGCCGCTCCTGGCCACTCAAGAGGCTGAGAGCTGAGGACTCAAAGCCAGAGTGGTAGATACATGTGAGAGACTCATCACCAATTAAACAGCAAAAAGCTGGACGTGGAAGTGTGGTTCAAGTGGTAGAGCACCAGCCTTGAGTGGAAAAGCTAAGGGAGACTGTGAGGCCCTGACTTCAGCAGAGGGAAAAACTAGTCAGCTTTCTGGGGGCCCAGGGCCCAGGGGTTAATGTGGCTGTCCGGGGGCCGTCCCTGGGAGAGGCCGGAGGCCTGGACTGACCCTAGGCCACGTGCCCGGGAGGCTCCAGGCTTGGCTGCAGATGTGGGCGGGCGCAGTGGACAGCGGGCCCTTTATTAGCCTCCAGACAGGAAATTCCAGACTGGGGGACATACCAATAACCGCGGGCCTCCCAGCCAGCGGAGGAGGCCCAGGGCGGCAGGAGGTGGTGAGCGCGGCGCTGGCTCCTCTGCCCAGACATCCTGGCTTTTCCCCCTAAGGTCTGAGCGAAGTCTCACTTGAAAAGTGGACGTTTTCATTCTTCTTTTTCTTTGTGGGACTGGGGATCGAGCCCAGGGCCTGGCCATGCTACACAAGTGTCTACATCCAGCCTCAGACAGACGGTTTTTAGGACTTAACAGTTCCCAGCTAGGTCCCCACGTGGGTCCGAGGGGATGAGTAAAATGAGCCTTGAGCCCTGGGTGAAACCATTCGGGGCCTGTGTGTCAGGGAAACCCACGGCGCTCACATGCACACCTCCGTAAGGACGTTGGTGTGCACACAGGGACTGATGATTGTTTTGGGGGAGAACTGACACACGGGACCCAGGGCGCAGAGCAGGCCGGGGCAAGGGGGCCTGTCCTCTGTGAGTGTGGGCTTGGGTTCTGGGCCCTCTCCTGCAGTTTGGTGCCATGTCTGGTCTGGTTCGAGCGGTTTTCCTGACTCCACCACAAGGTGGCAGCCGTGGAAATTCCTCTAACCCCTAGCCTTCTCTGCCAGGGCCCCGGAGGAGCCTCAGGTGCTAAAGGAGACCAGGTGAGGGGCCAGCAGCAGCGGTGGTGCGCGTGCGCGTGCGCGTGTGGGTGCGTGTCTGGGGCTCTGTCACCTGCCCAGCTTTCTCTTGGCTGCTGGGCCATCTGCTGGGGGTCTGCCTTCAGAGCTCTCGCACCCGCCACTCCACACCAGCCACAGAGCAGAGTAGGGGCAGAAGCGGCTGCAAACCTCCCGCAGCCTGTTTGTGCTGTGTAATGGGGTGGGAGGCCTGAGCAGATGGGAGGGCCAGGGGGAGGGCTGCGTCCCTCCCACCCCATCCCATCCCACACCCCATCCCATGCAGCCACGCCAAAGGCCCCGCGTGGCAGGGAGTGGGGCTCCGGCCTGGGTCTCAGGCATGAATGTCACTGAACTCTGAGGCCGGCGGCTTGTGGCAGGCCCCAGCGCATTAATGCTGACCGGTTGTTTCCAGGGCTTCGCAGGTGCTGACGGCCTCCCTGGGGACAAAGGAGAGCTGGTGAGTGTGGCTGAGCACCAGCAGGTCCCTTTGGATGGGTCTGGTCCCCTCCAGCAAGTGCGCCACTCCAGAAACCACGTGCGGGCCAAGGCGGCTCCCGCTGAGTGCGAGCACTCTGCCTGCCAGTGGACGCCCGCTGGGTGATGCGGGTCTGATGGAGACGCATCTTCAGAGGGCTAAGAAAACACCAGATCTGTGAGTGACTCTCACACCCACACCTTCCCGGAGCTGGTGAAAATGGAACGGTTTCTCCTGAGGTTCGAGGAGAAAAGATCTTTCTGGCTTTCAGGGGCCAGAGATTTTTATTTACTTTTTATTATCTTGTACAGAAGTGTTGTGCAAGGCGGTTCCAACATGTCAGTCTAGGAGTCCAAAGCACCTTGGTGATATCATCTCCTCTGGATTTAATTTCTATCACCAGCTCTTCCCTTTGTGTCTGTGAAACACAGCCAGGCAGGTCCCAGAGATCCTGGCGTCGACACACCTTTTGTGCCTCTAGCCAGAATAATCTCAGAGCCTGTGAACTTCCTCAGCAGGCTTGATGGGGACAGGGAGGGGTGCAGCGGCCGTGGGAGGCGCTGGCCGGGACCCTGCTGCCTGCGGTGAGCTGGGCACCCACCCCCCGCCCTGTCCGGTTTCGAGGCGGGCCGCTGGCTCGTGGTGTGAACCAGAGACCGGAGCCCAGCCTGTCGGTCATCTTGCACGGATCTGTGTGCGGTGTGGCCAGTGGCTGGCGTACGTAGTATGTAGCGTAGCGGGAGCCGCTCCCGCCCTGGCTCTCACCGAGACCTAAGTCACCAACACACCTTTCCTCCCGCAGGGTCCCAGTGGCCCCGTGGGACAAAAAGGAGAGGTGAGTCCCCACAGAGGCTCTGCCTAGTCCAGGACCCCAGGGCTTTCCAACTGAGCCTGTGGGGCGCTGCCAGACCCAAGACCTCTGGAGAACGCCCTGAGGGGCGACCCTGGCCCTGGCCCCCTGACCCCCCTTCCTGTCTCTCTGCAGTCTGGCATTCGGGGGGAGCTGGGCCCCAAAGGCCTTCAAGGACCCAATGGCACTGGTGGCGTGCAGGGCGTCCCCGGCCCCCCGGGGCCCCTGGGTTTGCAGGGCCCGCAGGGCGTCCCCGGCCCCACCGGGAAGCCCGGCGTTCCGGTAGGTGGCTCACGCCC